TTAATTAGTTTGACCTGTTTTCTATTGACATTTCTTTGTATATATTCATAATGTTGCCAGCTGATTAATGATTTCGACTGGCTAAGAAAAGCTGTCTGCCTGTCTGTCTCATCCCGACTCATGACATGTTCATTACTATGGGACAGCTGGAGATACATTTCTATATTGAAACAATGTTGCAAATGTCGGATAGACAGACAGCAAGGTTTATACAAATCTCCGCTGTTGAAAACCAAATGCTAGTCTAAAAGAAATGGGAGATAATGTCTAGATACTTTTTATAGTGGAGATCAAGTTTATAAATTGCCTGGCTGGGCTAATGAGACAGTGGATTGCGCAGTGATAGTAAATAGGTATTTCAACATCATAGCGTTAGCCGGTGGTAACTTTTGGAATAGACACCGGCTGGAATGTGGTTTTAACCAATCAGTATCCAGGATTAGACCCACCCTTTGTATAACTGTACATATTTTGAAGCATGCATCAATGCAAGCTTCAATGTAAAGTATGGAAAGTATGCAAATAAATATGATGCAACCACGTAGAAAATGACACAACATTTATTGAAATCAATGGTGGCCATTATTTGAGCTGAAGCAAGAGAAAATACACTCCAACTTTGGAATGAAATGTTGACTATTCACATCTCATATGTTGCCTGACTACAATCTTTTATCTTGATACGTTAATAAATGCATTCTGTGTTAATTGTGGCATGTTTACCTGCCTACGTACTGTAGATCGCAAGCCCATGGTAAGTCAACAGGGCTAACTGGCTAGCTACTACTGTTAGCTAGCCAGATAGCCACAAAGAATTATTAGCTAGCTACCCACGAAGAATTGACATCTATCTTGCATAATATTCGTTTTAGGCTATTTTTGCCTGTTAAACTATCTGGTTATTATAATTCACATATGGCTAGCTGATAGTTATGAAGTAAAAAGTTTGCTGTCTGTATATCTTGTTTCGTCTATTGTTGCCATTGTCCTGGCTGGAAGAAGGTTCAGTGAATGGGGAAGTGAAGTGTGAGGTAATACAGTAGGGGGGAGTGTGAGTGCTTCTCAAATGTAATGTTTTATGCATTCGCCAAACTCTCGTCCTCACAAGAACGTACTCAAGAGAACATCGTCGGAGAATGCACTCCGAGCATGAGAGTGTGGAGCAAGGTAGTATGCATATTGAGAAAAACACTCAGTGTATGTGAAAAAAACATGTTTCTATGATCTGTAGTTAAAAAGATAAGAAAAGTCCTAAAAATGTAACTTCACGGGGTAGGATTAAAGTAAAGAAAACTGTGATTTTCAAAACCTGCAACGAGTTTCTAGCCAGAGGGAGGGTACTTTCTTGCTCCCCACATCACAGCGAGTCTCATAGTGTTTGGGAATCAATGTTTATTAACTTTTGATGATCGGGTAGAACTTTATATGGTTTTCTACAACTGCGCCACTTTCACATATGAAGACACTGGTATTGTGCTAGAGATAATGAAAATGAGGTTGAAAAGGGGTGGAATTGCCCTTTTAGGCCTGTTTTGGGTAATAAATGACTGCACAAGTGATATAGAACATGTACTGCAGTAGATTTGCAGCCATTAAAAGTGTGTCATCCAAGTTTCAGAAACTGGGCTTACACCTGAATGAGTTATTCTATGTAGCTAGGCACTGTAGCTACATATGCAACCCAGTGGAGAAAAAAGAGATATAATCATATTAAAATGCAAGAAAGGCACCGTTAAGCATTTACAGAATAAACTAAGGGAAATTAACCATTAATGTCAGTGAAGTCAATTTTATATAACTTCAGTCTGCAGACCAAGCATGACATTTCTTCAAAGGAAGATTCCATACTCCATAGTTACCCAAGTGGATTCGATACTCTGCCTTCTTCCAATGGAGCTGACCTCTGTACAAGTACCTCCAGTCTGTCATATCTTTTTGAAAAACATTTCATGACAGAGCATAAAACCACCAGTTACATATGCAGGTTCCAAAGTCTTCAAATGATTATGCTTTCAGTTGTGCTTTTATCGTACCAACTCTGCTCAAACACCGCGGCCATAGTCATATCAAATCCCATTTTAACACACAGCTATGTAGATTTTGCAGGTCACATACTGTATTAACATAAATGATATACAGGTAACTGCCAAAATAAAGGAAACAGTAACATAAAGTGTCTTAATAGAGCATTGGGCCACCACGAGCTGCCAGAACAGCTTCAATGCGCCTTGGCATAGATTCTAATGTCTGGAACTTCATCATTTGGTGTTTTGTTGATGGCTGTCTCAGGCGTTGCGTTTCAGAATCTCCCATAAGTGTTAATTGGGTTGAGATCTGTTGATAGAGAGAGAGAGACACACACACACACACAAAAATACTACAGTTTACTATAGAATCCTACAGTACTTACTATAGAAAATAATGTTATAGTAAAATGTAGAATACTATACTACACAATGTAGTATCCCTCGATCATGGGTAGTACTAACTATGGAATGTTGTAGCATACTGTAGAATACTATAGTAAATACTACAGTATTATCCACACAAATAAACACTAGTAAATACTACAGTAATGTCCGCAAAACACTACATTCCACAAAAACACTAACAAATGTTAACTATAGTAAATACTACTGTTTTTAATTTGTATATACCCTGACCAGTCCCCTCCTCCATATCGCAATTTGTGCCACCCATAAGTGAGAAACCTACATGCCAAGTATAGACCATATATTGTGTTCCCTACAGGTTATGGAAAACAGCAGAAGCTCTGAACTACCGGTATCTGTTCAGACCCCAGTCCTACCTACCTACAGGTTATGCAAAATGTGCTATTTTATTAGTTCTCCAGAAGGTTTCTTGAAGGAGAAAGTATTTGCTTCTATGTCAAAGATAATAATACAATAACACTATAGTAAATACTACAGTAATGTCCGCAAAAACACTACAGTAAATACTAGAGTATACTACAATCAGCAAAAACACTACATTAATTACTATAGTATATACTACAGTTTTCTTTTACTACAGTATTTACACTATAGTTAACAGTAAATACTACAGTAAAGTCTGCAAAAACACTACAGTGAATACTATAGTATTTATACCAGAGTATCCTAATGTATTTTTTCATGTGCGCACAAACACACACACACACACCCTTTAATAAACCCCTTATGCTCCTTTGAGACCCCTCTTTCAAAATCACTGAGATCTTCTAGCCATGGTAGCCAAAATAATGGGCAACTGGACATTTTTATACATGACCCTAAGCATGATGGGATGTTAATTGCTTAATTAACTCAGGAACCACACCTGTGTGGAAGTGCCTGCTTTCAATATACTTTGAATCCCTAATTTACTCAAGTGTTTTCTTTATTTGGGCAGTTATCTGTACATATTACATTCTACAGTGTAATTGTTAATCAGCTAAGCCAAGTGCACTTATGCACCATAAAAACAAGTGTGTTGAATGGAAGCTGTCATCGTTAACTCCACAGAAGACATTTAAGACTGCTGTGTCTGTCTCTTCTTCAAGAACGAAAAGGTGCAACATAGGGGAAATCAAAATGGCTGACACAGTTTTGTGCATATTCTCATTCAAGAGCAGTCGTCTGTGTTCAGGCTGAGTGGTAGTCAAACAGTGCTGCTGCCTCGTAAGGCATGAGGATATGCAAACAACAGGCTAAAATCACATTCAGATGTTGAGCTCGTTGACAGCAGACTTGTAACTATTTGCCATCTACTTCCAACATGGCTGTTTCATGACTTTCCTGTCTGTGTATCTCTATGGATCATTAATAATGACATTGGTGGACAGTAGATATACAATAAGACCAGTGCCCTCCTCTAGACTAAAGACCTTGTGTGCTCTATGGAAAGTGCCAGGCTGGTAGGTTCACATACCATTTCTTTAAAGGGCCTATATAATGGTGGATCAGGTCCTCTCTGTATGTATAGTCTGTATGTATAATCTAACTCCTCTGACCTCCTCTCACACCACTCACTTTAACATTGGCAGGTCTGTCACAAGTCCTACCCATTTGTGGATATGTCCCCAACCTGTCATAGACTAATGCTCATTCACTTTAAGGTGACATTTATTTTCAGAGTTTGAGGTGTCCCACTATCATTTTGTCAATCAGCTAATGGCAGAAGGGAATAATGTGGGCACATGAGCTGTAAGACAAGAAACCCTGCATTCTGTAGTGTTTATTGTGACCTACAACTGCAGTGTACCACAGCCTTGTTTCACTATCTACAGTATCACAGTCATACCTGATCTTATTTGGCTGCTGTTTCACTAAATGCCTTTAAAAGCGAAAACATTGAATCCTACTGGAGCACGCAATCAGCATATTGGATTTGTCATCAAAATAAATGGCCTCACAAGATTGTACAATTTATTAGGAAAATAATTGACAACTTTACTTCAATAGGGTTATCTTGTTATGTTAATATCAAATTAATTATTGCATTATCTATTACTAAATTGTGAGCTTGTTAGGAATATTTGGATAATAATAGCTGACTGCTCCAAATTGCCTCTCAAGGGTTTGGAAGATACATTAATGGAACGTGCAGGTAAACAGGTGAGATGTGGGCTTATGAGGTTGGACTCAACCATCATAACTGTGGTTCCAGGGCTATCGAAGGGGCTCGGGGGCTTGAATGCTCTCGACCCTGAAGTGCAGTTTAGACATGCAGTGGTCATGCATAGTCGAGAGAGCAAACAGTACCACTATTTGACCATCCTCTCTTTGTTCAATCTTCCTCCCCCATCTCCCCTCCCCCTGTTAGTTTCTCAGCTTGTTCCTGTTTTAGGAAATAGTCCATGCAATGATATGTATGAGAGCACATCTTTGATTGACATCTCAAACATCTCAAAAACAAAGTTATAATCAACATTTTCAAGTGTCATGTGAGTCCTTTATGCTGGATGGTCATATTGTTAATGTCTGTGCCGGGGGGAGGGGGTTATTTGATTCACTCCTATGTTATTTTAGTCGTACATGGGGAAGCTGGTTGAGGGACTCTGCACTGCCCATTGTGGGGATGAGGGGTCCGGTCAAACTGCTTGAGGACCTCCCATCTTCAGTCCGCAAGAGGTCCAAGCAGCCAGTACCGTCCGATGTGGGATGGGACAGGAAGTCACTCTCATGGGACAGGAAATCAAACTGGTCCACCTGCGGCTCCAGATCACAGTTGGGGTTGCCATGGGAGCCGTCACTGGAACTGCTACTGTTGCCGAGGGGGGAGGACAGGTTGGGGGGGTTGTCTACAAATGGCTGGGTGAGGTTGTGTGCTGACCGGGACTTCCCCAGCCCCTGTCCCCACTCAGAGGGCACCCCCTCATATCCAGAAGAGAGCAGCAGCAAGGGGTCCACTTCCAGGCTCAAGTGCCTCCTCCAGGGGCCCTCTTCCCACAAGTGGGGCTTCCCCCTCAGCTGCACCCTGCCCTGGGCATGTCCCCCCTCACTGTCCTCCTCCTCTCCATCGTCCACCCTGGAGCCCACCATCACAGAGGGGCCTGAGCTCACCTCCAGCCTACCCCCTCGAGGAGCATCCGGGGTGGGGCTGAGGGGTTGTCTGTGCTGGGGGCCAGTGGGGGGCGGCTGGAGGGTGGTGGCACCAGCGGATGGTGGAGGGGGCAGGAGGTTAGGGAAATGCGCTCGCCTGGGGAAACTACTGGGCTTGGCGAGGAGCGGGTAGGGGCTATCAGGGGGCAGGAAGGGCGAGGGTGTGAGAGATACGGTGGAGGCAGGGTAGGAGGGGGGGCAGGTGTTGAGGGTGAGTTCGCTGGGGGCCAGGATGAGCTGGAGGCCCCTGGGGAGATGGTCACCTGTTGTTGAACGGGACATCCCCCCACCACCTCCACCTCGGTGCCCTCTTACGCCCTCCCCTCCCTGGGGGGAGCCAGAGGACAGGTCCTTGCTGAGGATGGAGCTCTGGTAGTCGGATGTCTGGTTCTCCAGCTCGAACAGGGGCAGGGAGGAGAGGGTGAGGGCAGACGAGTCCTTTTTTAGCACCTGCCTGTACACATCTAGCAGAGAGTCCAGCTTCGACTCTATGGACGTCACCTGGGAGGGGGGGGGGGCATAGATTAAAAGCAGCAAGGGTTCATTGTGCAAGAGACACTTCTTAACGAGTAAACACACACTATAGACACTGAACAAAAATATAAAGCAACAAGCAACAATTTCAAAGATTTTACTGAGTTACAGTTCATATAAGGAAATCAGTCAATTGAAATAAATTAATTAGGTCCTAATCTATGGATTTCACAGGACTGGGAATACAGATATGCATCTGTTGGTCACAGATACCTTTTAAAAAAGGTAGGGCCGTGGATCAGAAAACCAGTCAGCATCTGGTGTGACCACCATTTGCCTCACGCAGCGCTACACATCTCCTTCGAATAGAGTTGATCAGGCTGTTGATTGTGGCCTGTGGAATGTTGTGCCACTCCTCTTCAATGGCTGTGCGAAGTTGCTGGATATTGGCAGGAACTGGAACACGCTGTCGTACACGTCGATCCAGGGCATCCCAAACATGCTCAATGGGTGACATGTCTGGTGAATATGCAGGCCATGGAAGAACTGGGACATTTTCAGCTTCCAGGAATTGTGTACAGACCCTTGCGACATGGGGCTGCGCATTATCATGCTAAAACATTAAGTGATTGCGGCGGATGAATAGCATAGATAAAATGGAATTGTGTTCATTAACCGTAGCTTATGCCTGCCCATACCATAACCCCACCGCCACCATGGGGCACTCTGTTCACAATGTTGACATCAGCAAACCGGTCGCCCACACAACCATTTGCCATATGTACAGTATATACTGTATTCTAGTCAAGGCCATCCTATAGGCCTTGCTATATTCTTCAGATATACTACATATTCTATCCACATACTGTCCATCATGTCTATACATCCCATCACATATATATATATACAGTATACTGTATATATATATATATATATATATATATATATATATATATATATATATATATATATACACAGTTGAAGTCGGAAGTTTAAATACACCTTAGCCAAATACATTTAAACTAAATTTTTCACAATTCCTGACATTTAATCCTAGTAAAAATTCCCTGTCTTAGGTCAGTTAGGATCACCACTTTATTTTAAGAATGTGAAATGTCAGAATAATAGTAGAGAGAATTATTTATTTCAGCTTTTATTTCTTTCATCACATTCCCAGTGGGTCAGAAGTTTACATACACTCAATTAGTATTTGGTAGCATTGCCTTTAAATTGTTTAACTTGGGTCAAACGTTTCAGGTAGCCATCCACAAGCTTCCCACAATAAATTGGGTGAATTTTGGCCTATTCCTCCTGACAGAGCTGGTGTAACTGAGTCAGGTTTGTAGGCCTCCTTGCTCGCACACACTTTTTCAGTTCTGCCCACACATTTTCTATAGCATTGAGGTCAGGGCTTTGCAATGGCCACTCCAATACCTTGACTTTGTTGTCCTTAAACCATTTTGCCACAACTTTGGAAGTATGCTTGGGGTCATTGTTCATTTGGAAGACCCATTTGTGACCAAGCTTTAACTTCCTGACTGATGTCTTGAGATGTTGCTTCAATATATCCACATAATTTTCCTTCCTCATGATGCCATCTATTTTGTGAAGTGCACCAGTCCCTCCTGCAGCAAAGCACCCCCACAGCATGATGCTGCCACCCCCGTCCTTCACGGTTGGGATGGTGTTCTTCGGCTTGCAAGCATCCCCCTTTTTCCTCCGAACATAACAATGGTCATCATGGCCAAATAGTTCTATTTTTGTTTCATCAGACCAGACTACATTTCTCCAAAAAGTACGATCTTTGTCCCCATGTGCAGTTGCAAACCGTAGTCTGGCTTTTTTATGGCGGTTTTGGAGCAGTGGCTTCTTCCTTGCTGAGCGGCCTTTCAGGTTATGTCGATATAGGACTTGTTTTACTGTGGATATAGACACTTTTGTACCTGTTTCCTCCAGCATCTTCACAAGGTCCTTTGCTGTTGTTCTGGGATTGATTTGCACTTTTCGCACCAAAGTATGTTTATCTCTAGGAGACAGAACGTGTCTCCTTCCTGAGCGGTATGACAGCTGCGTGGTCCCATGGTGTTTATACTTGCGTACTATTGTTTGTACAGATGAACGTGGTACCTTCAGGCGTTTGGAAATTGCTCCCAAGGATGAACCAGACTTGTGGAGGTCTACAAATTTTTTTCTGAGGTCTTAGCTGATTTCTTTTGATTTTCCCATGATGTCAAGCAAAGAGGCACTGAGTTTGAAGGTAGGCCTTGAAATACATCCACAGGTACACCTCCAATTGACTCAAATGATGTCAATTATCAGAAGCTTCTAAAGCCATGACATCATTTTCTGGAATTTTCCAAGCTGTTTAAAGGCACAGTCGACTTAGTGTTTGTAAACTTCTGACCCACTGGAATTGTGATACAGTGAATTATAAATGAAATAATCTGTCTGTAAACAATTGTTGGAAAAATTACTTGTGTCATGCACAAAGTAGATGTCCTAACCGACTTGCCAAAACTATAGTTTGTTAACAAGAAATTTGTGGAGTGGTTGAAAAACGAGTTTTAATGACTGTATGTGAACTTCCGACTTAAATTGTAGATATATATATCTATATTTATACTCCGGATTCCGACATTGCTCGTCCTAATATTTCTATGTTTCTTAATTCCATTATTTTACTTTTAGATGTGTGTGTATTGTTGTGTATTGTTAGATATTACTGCACTGTTGGTGCTAGGAAAACAAGCAATTCACTACACCCACAATAACATCCGCTAAATATGTGTATGCGACCAATAACATTTGATTTGATTTGATCTGCCCGGTACAGTTGAAACCGGGATTCATCAGAGAAGAGCACGCTTCTCCAGCATGCCAGTGGCCATCGAAGGTGAGCATTTGCCCACTGAAGTCAGTTACGACGCTGAACTGCAGTCGGGTCAAGACCCTGGTAAGGACAATGAGCATGCAGATGAGCTTCCCTGAGACGATTTCTGACAGTTTGTTCAGAAATTATTCCATTGTGCAAACCCACAGTTTCATCAGCTGTCCGGGTGGCTGGTCTCAGACGATCCCGCAGGTCCTGGGCTGGCGTGGTTACACGTGGTCTGCGGTTGTGAGGCCGGTTGGACATACTGACAAATTCTCTAAAACAACGTTGGAGACGGCTTATGGTAGTGAAATGAACATTCAATTCTCTGGCAACAGCTCTGGTGGACATTCCTGCAGTCAGCATGCCAATTGCACGCTCTCTCAAAACTGGAGACATCTGTGGCATTGTGTTGTGTGACAAAACTGCACATTTTAGAGTGGCCTATTATTGTCCCCAGCACATTGTGCACCTGTGTAATGATCATTCGGTTTAATCAGCTTCTTGATATACCACACCTGTCAGGTTCATGGATTATCTTGGCAAAGGAGAAATGCTCATTAGCAGGGATGTAAACTAATTTGTGCACAAAATTAGAGATGAATAAGCTTTGTGTGTATAGAACATTTCTGGGATATTTAATTTCAGCTCATGAAACATAGGACCAACACTTTACATGTTGCATTTATATCTTTGTTCAGTATAACTGGCTCAAACTCTCACCTGTCTCTCCACTTTACACACACGTCCCAGCATACTCATGTCCTCCAGTGTGTCCCTGTCAGGGTGAAGCTTGTCCCTGATCTTTTTGTCCATGGGGATCTGGCCCTTACCCAGTATCTGATCCACCCTGTGATACACATATTTCGTTGTATTAATCACAAATAGTGGACTTCGAAAGCCAGTTGGTACATTATTTTCACATGGGTCAGACACGTGGTTTTACATGTGAAGTTTCACATGTACATTTTTCCCTCTTAAAAAAAAATATTCACATTCAGGTCTGCACCTCCTTGCCCATCCAAATAAAATATTGAAATATTGAAAATGTATTTGACCGAGACGCACCCTGACAGAAAGACGCATCAATCTCAGTTAAAGCATCCCTGAAGAGCGCACTTCTCCAGCATGCCAGTGGCCTGTCTCAGTATGTGTAGACCATGTATCTGATGCTGTCTGGACCAGAAGAGCATGGCATGTCATACTATTTCTGGCCAGACATCATCAGATAATGTACATGGGAAATATATAAAGTGGCGCTGTTTCGCTCGCTCGCATGCTTTCTCCGGTGACATAGTTTTAGCAGAGAGGAAGAGGCGAAGCGAGAGTCTCACTCTCGCCAAAACTGTCCAGAATAAACCCAATGTGTTTCTATGGGCATTATATGCAGACCTAAACTTGTCGCCTGCCTTCCCGCCTTTGGTACAAAGACTTCCAGTGTTAGGGTTGAGACATGAGCATCTCGATATTATACATTGATCTCTGTTTTCCGCCTCTTGCGAATTGGAAAGGAAAGTTGTTAGGGTGCTGGAGTCCCCTAAAGTAAATTCATATTTCGCCAAAATTATAGGCTATAATTACTCCTGTCTAAATAAAATAATTCAAAATTCTTCACCAGGGAGCATGACAAAGCTTATTTTGTTTAACAGTTAAGAACAAATTATTATTTACTATGACGGCCTACACCGGCCAAACCCGGACGAAGTTGGGCCATTCCCAATCACCGACGGTTGTGATACAGCCTGGAATCGAACCAGAGAGTCTGTAGTGACGCCTCAAGCTCTGAGATGCAATGCCTTAGACCGCTGCGCCACTCAGGAACCCAGGCTGTGAGTTGTTTCAATTCACAATCCCCTAAATCTATTTGGGAAGCCCGCAATTTGGATAGTGCGCGTGGCAATAGGTCTAGCTGATTGAGTTGTGGCTGTCAGTGATAAGCATCTAAAATATATGTGAAGATAATGTGTCTTGAGTATAATTGAAAATGTTGCATGAAGAAGGGGAGGGGTGTGTGGCAAAGATATGGCGCGTCTCTCTCCAGAATGCACTCAGCTGTCTCCCGCCAATTCTTGCGCATTCATAGTTTCATTGTGTGAATTGTTTGCCCTTTGATTGTTTATTTCTTTGATCAATTCCACATTACTTATGTCACCAGTAAGCCTAGAACATGTACAGTTAATCCCCCATCATTTGGTTACATTAATTTCTGTTGATGCATGTTTTAATTAGGCTACAGTCATTCTCGGACTGGAAACGCTGTTTGCGGAGTTCACAACCTGCTACCTTTGTTAGAAACAAGTTTTGTTTTATTTCATAACCATTAATATATATATATATATATATATATATATATATATATATATATATATATATATATTACAAAACTGGTAATGGTTATGAAATAAAACAAAACTTGTTTCTAACAAAGGTAGCAGGTTGTGAACTCCGCAAACAGCGTTTCCAGTCCGAGAATGACTGTATATATATATATATATATATATATATATATATATATATATATATATATATATATATATATATATATATATATATGTATTTGGTTTGGAGTGCTCCATGTGAGCAATGAGCATGTGCCTGGTTTCTCTTTCCTGATAACTTTGAGGGAGCGCGTGCACCTGAGCACACAGAAGAAGGCCTACTTGGCCTGCTGCGTGCAAAAGTAAGAAAGTGCCTAATTGGCAATGTTTGATTTCTGATTGTCATAACTCACCACGTCCACCACTTATAAACTGAGCTTCTCAGTAATTATTTCTTCACCTCACACAGAAAGTCAATGAAGTCTGTTTTTTTAACATCCATTGCTAGTTCCTCAGTATATTAAAAATATTTCCAACACTCCCTGCCTGGATGATCACCAAAAAAATAATATTTTCTACAGTTTTTATTTTGTCGACTGTAGGCATATGTATTTTACTTAGTTGGCAATTAAGTTATAGGCTTACTGCTGCATTGACCTATAGGCTATCTCTGAGTTCTATATGCA